TTAACATATCAATTTAATCTAAGATAAAAATATTTCATCCAAAATATTTAATTTTCAAAAAATTGATACTGAAAAAGATCTTGGTGGTAATAAAGATTTAATTAGCCTTTTGTGTGTGTGTGTCATTTTCTGATTATAAAGCTGCGAGTTGAAATCTAGTTGATATGTGAATAAAAAGAGCTCATTATTTATTAAACAATTATATTATCCCTCAATAAAACTATACCTAACGCCAAGATGTGCTGGCCATTCAAGAAAGCCTCCCGAAACAAACAACACCAAGAAGAAAATTATGATTATGAAGAAATATTGAACAAATATTTCAAACAAGAGGTCCAAATTCTTTCGTGTAAAGATAGAAATGAAGAGCCCAGTCATATGCCGAAAAGAGTCAGCTTCGGCCAGGAAATTCTCTACAAAGAATTTGAAAGCTCCGAAAAGCCAGAAGAGCTATCAAAAAAAGAATGGAAAAACATGGCGGAGGACGCTTTCTTCCTGAAAGAGGTCAAAGAGAGATCTATTCCTCACTGCCCTCCATGTACGCCGAGAAGATATTTCTTTCAGTGTTCAAAAACCAGGCCACCTTACAGCGTAAGAAAATTGCTGCAAGAAGTTTCTATTCGCTTGGAGAGCCACAAAAATGATATAATATGCCAGTTGGGTGCCAAAAGAGCTAGAAAGGCCATGAAAAGGGAGCGCCATGAAGAGCTCTGGCGATCATCAGAAATAGAACTGAGGATACTTGAAGCCAGCGAGGAGCCAGATGACTTGGCGTTGCTTCCTGAAACATCAGTTGCAACTTCTTCCAGTGCAATACATTTGACAACTACCCTCTAATTTCATCTAATTCCTTCTTGATAATGTAATATGTATTTTTATGAAGAGGAGAATATGATAATAGATGATCCTGAGACTGCTTTGAGACCGGGGGCTAGTGAACCCCAACAGAGGAGAAAATCCAAGGCCTGCTCTGTAACCGGGGGCTAGCAAACCCCAGCAGGGTAGAAGATCCACGGGTTCCTCTGGAGCCGGGGGCTAGCGAACCCCAACAGAGGAGAAGATCCAAGGCCTGCTCTGTAACCGGGGGCTAGCAAACCCCAGCAGGGTAGAAGATCCACGGGTTCCTCTGGAGCCGGGGGCTAGCGAACCCCAACAGAGGAGAAGATCCACGGGTTCCTCTGGAGCCGGGGGCTAGCGAACCCCAGCAGGGTAGAAGATCCACGGGTTCCTCTGGAGCCGGGGGCTAGCGAACCCCAACAGAGGAGAAGATCCACGGGTTCCTCTGGAGCCGGGGGCTAGCGAACCCCAACAGCGGAGAAGATCCAAGGCCTGCTCTGGAGCCGGGGGCTAGCGAACCCCAACAGAGGAGAAGATCCAAGGCCTGCTCTGGAACCGGAGGCTAGCGAACCCCATCAGAGGAGGAGATCCAAGGCCTGCTCTGGAACCGGGGGCTAGCGAACCCCAACAGAGGAGAAGATCCAAGGCCTGCTCTGGAGCCGGGGGCTAGCGAACCCCAACAGAGGAGAAGATCCAAGGCCTGCTCTGGAACCGGGGGCTAGCGAACCCCATCAGAGGAGGAGATCCAAGGCCTGCTCTGGACCCGGGGGCTAGCGAACCCCAACAGAGGAGAAGATCCAAGGCCTGCTCTGGAACCGGGGGCTAGCGAACCCCAACAGAGGAGAATATCCAAGGCCTGCTCTGGAACCGGGGGCTAGCGAACCCCAACAGAGGAGAAGATCCAAGGCCTGCTCTGGAACCGGGCGCTAACGAACCTCAACAGAGGAGAAGATCCATGGGCAGCTCTGGAACCGGGGGCTAGCGAACCCCAGCAGGGTAGAAGATCCACGGGTTCCTCTGGAGCCGGGGGCTAGCGAACCCCAACAGGGTAGAAGATCCACGGGTTCCTCTGGAGCCGAGGGCTAGCGAACCCCAACATGGTAAAAGATCCACGGGTGGCTCTGGAGCCAGGGGCTAGCGAACCCCAGCAGGGTAGAAGATCCACGGGTTCCTCTGGAGCCGGGGGCTAGCGAACCCCAGCAGGGTAGAAGATCCACGGGTGGCTCTGGAGCCGGGGGCTAGCGAACCCCAGCAGGGTAGAAGATCCACGGGTGGCTCTGGAGCCGGGGGCTAGCGAACCCCAGCAGGGTAGAAGATCCACGGGTTCCTCTAGAGCCGGGGGCTAGCGAACCCCAACTGAGGAGAAGATCCAAGGCCTGCTCTGGAACCGGGGGCTAGCGAACCCCAACAGAGGAGAAGCTCCATGGGCAGCTCTGGAACCGGGGGCTAGCGAACCCCATCAGAGGAGGAAATCCAAGGTCTGCTCTGGAACCGGGGGCTAGCGAACCCCATCAGAGGAGGAGATCCAAGGCCTGCTCTGGAGCCGGGGGCTAGCGAACCCCAGCAGAGGAGAACATCCAAGGTCTGCTCTGGAACCGAGGGCTAGCGAACCCCAACAGAGGAGAAGATCCATGGACAGGTCTGGAACCGGGGGCTAGCGAACCCCAACAAAAGAGAAGATCCAAAGCCTGCTCTGAACCGGGGGCTAGCAAACCCCATCAGAGAGGATGATCCATGGGCAGCTCTGGAACCGGAGGCTTGCGAACCCCAACAGAGGAGAAACTCCATGGGCAGCTCTGGAACCGGGGGCTAGCGAACCCCATCAGAGGAGGAAATCCAAGGCCTGATCTGGAACCGGGGGCTAGCGAACCCCAACAGAGGAGAAGATCCAAGGCCTGCTCTGGAGCCGGGGGCTAGCGAACCCCAACTGAGGAGAAGATCCAAGGCCTGCTCTGGAACCGGGGGCTAGCGAACCCCAACAGAGGAGAAGATCCATGGGCAGCTCTGGAGCCGGGGGCTAGCGAACCCCAGCAGGGTAGAATATCCACGGACAGCTCTGGAACCGGGGGCTAGCGAACCCCAGCAGAGGAGAACATCCAAGGTCTGCTCTGGAACCGGGGGCTAGCGAACCCCAGCAGAGGAGAAGATCCAAGGCCTGCTTTGGAACCAAAGGTTTGTAGAGAATCAGCTGAGGAAACACCGGGGAAGTTAAGAACCAACACCAAACCTAAAATGATGGCTTCCAAGATGAGCTGAATGTGAAAAATATTATCTTTACATCTCCTTTTTTACCTTCATAATCCAAAATACTTCTAAATTGAATAAACATTGTGCCTGTGGAAAGGTATAATATATATATTTCAAATAAAAAGGCATTTATTGGATCAAAATATCATTTATTTTGCCAATATTTCAGTTGACTGAACACCAACCTTTATCAAGGTATTATAACATATTTAATGTGTGTCATAAACAAACTCAGCGCCCTATATATATAGATTTTCAACTTTTAATTAGACATTTTAAATAATGTTATTTTTTAACTTTTTAATTTAGAAACTTTGTGTTTTTTTAAATAAATATTTATTGAGGAGGGAACATGCTAAAATATAATATATTTGACAAAAATAAATATTTAATAAAATTTTGTATGGTTTCTACTAATTTAAAATGAAAAGAGTCTGATATCAAACTATAGAACTATTGTTTATAGAAATGTATATGTTCAAATTATTTAAATGGTATTAAAAGGGTGTTGACTTTGCTTAGAAATTTTAATGAAACTGATTCCAATAATTATTAATTAAACATTATATTTATTGACTTACAAGAGAGAGATCAAAATATAAAAGGGAAACTAATATTGAACAAAATGTGGGTTTGATTCCCGCCCCTGGACACTTTTATTTTTCCTTTCGCCATTACTCTTCATATTTTCACCCTTTCATACATCATCCAATCATATATAAACCATTACTCTTCATATTTTCACCCTTTCATACGTCATCCAAAAAAGTTAGAAATAGTAGATATTTCTCTTTGAAATAAATATTGATTTTTCACAGAAAAGAAACTTATGCGGTTAAACTTTAAGTGTTGTTTTATAATCATACGCCGCAGTTCTTTATAATGTATTATAAGTTACTTTAAGTATTAGTTACGAACGGAAAAATACGTCCAGGGTAGCCTAGTGGACATGGCATCTGCCCGGTAAGCGGAAGATTGTGGGTTCGATTCCCGCCCCTGGAAACTTTTATTTTCCCGTTCGCCATTACTCTTCATATTTTCACCCTTTCATACATCATCCAATCATATATAAACCATTACTCTTCATATTTTCACCCTTTCATACGCCATCCAAAAAATTTAGAAATAGTAGATATTTCTCTTTGAAATAAATATTGATTTTTCACAGAAAAGAAACTTATGCGGTGAAACTTCAAGTGTTGTTTTATATACAGGGTCCAAAAGTCCCGCACAACTTTAAAAATTAATAAATCCGCGAATATTTGCGCTAGAGCAATGCGGTAAACACCATTGTGTTCAGGATGCAATGGGATTTTTTTTTATGGCAAATAATGAAAAATTCGAAATTGATTTTAGTTACAACTTTATTCTCTTGATGGCGCTCTACCAGAATCAGAGATTCAGCGGCCAAATTGTTTGATAAATTGAAAAATATAACTGAACGACACGTATTTTTCCTTTTTGAATACCAGGAAAGAACCCTAATAATATCAAATGATAAATTAATAAAACACCATTTCGCCAAAAGATAGAAGAATTGGTTGACGATTTTTAAATACAATCTGAGATATGTAAAATAGGTATATGCAAATTAAAACATGTATCAAAAAATATTTATATTTTAGATGGAGTTTTGTGAAATAAATTTAATGTTTGAAAATAACTACTGATATCAATACACGATTTTTGAAATGTTAATATAGTACCAAAAATTATGATGGCACTACTAATAGGATTTCGTGCTATAAGGAATGCATAGTTTCTTGACTAATTGTCGACACTTGACTATTTAACTGTATATTTGTCATGATCTAAAAATGAAATATAGAGAGGAGTGACAAAATATATTTGTCGTACTTTATTCCAAATATCCTATGGGTTTGTCAAATGTTATCATCGTTTATTATACTGTACATAATTTTGAAAATGTATCCCCTCAAAAAAATCATTTTTAAATCGACCTTTTGCGTTGAAAAACGTGGTAGTAGAATCATTTTGTATTATTTTTGGCGCAAAATATCTAAAGTTGGAGGAGATAGAGAGATTATTCCTTATGCTATTTCTTCTAATGAGCGAAAAGAGATAAACTAAACATAAGGGGTAAAATTGTGTATACTAGTGTTATTCGAGAAGTTATAACACTTTGGCCTGCACGACATAATATAAAATGTGGGCAAATGACAAACAAAAAAATTACTGTTTACAGAAAAAAAAGAGTCAAGATGTGAGGACAGCATTTATTATTCCCATAACCCAAAACAAAGAGCTGCAAAATATAACACATGAGGTAACTGCCTTCTCTCTTGTATTAGGTCACAATCCTTGCCCAATGTGGCGCCCTTCATTCTCAAACACCGCCTGCAGACGATAGATGACAGAATGGTCACAATTAAATAGTTGAAATTTATAAAATGTGCCATCTGATAGAAGCCTTCAACATGGCCAATGTGGTAGGCCGGCATCGATAAAAACGCGACTTAATGTACCCCCATAACTGAAATTGTAAGGCGTCAAGTCTGGTGATATTGAAGGCCACTGGTATATAAGGTGGCGACTTATCAACGAATTCCACCGAACGTATCCTTCAGCAATTGTTTGGCACCGCGGGAGATATGAGGAGGTCCTCCATCTTGCATGAATGTTATTTCGCTTAGTGCTTGTCTGTCCTGCAATATGGGAATAACCTTTTCTCTCAAAAGTTGAACATAACGTTCACCAGTTACGAAAACGGTTTTAAAAGTTCTTCCATTGATTTTTTCAAAGAAAAATGGCCCAATAATAAAAGAAGAAATGAACCCACACAAAACTGTAACTCTGTGCTGATGAAGTGGTATTTCTGTAAAAATCCTAGGGTTTTCTGTTGCCAAAATGAGGCAGTTTTGAATGGTAAATTCTCCCTTTAGATAAAAGTGAGCATCATCTGTTCTTAGAACATTTGACAGCCAGTTTTCATCAATATCAATTTGCCGGAAAACCCATGCAGCGAATTCTTGACGCTTCTCAAAATCGCTTACTTTCAACTCGTGAAAACTTTGAATTTTGTAAGGATATTTTTATAGAAAAATTCTAAATGTGTGTTCTCTCCAAACTGTTCCATACGAAATCCCCGTTTGTCGAGAAACTTGTCTAGCACTTACTTCTCCATATGGGGATAACGTTTCAATAGCTTCAGCATTCTGCAAAACCGTAACAGCCACTGACTTGCATGTCGATGGTTTTCCACTCCGAGGTTTTGCTTCCAGAGATCCAGTTTCCTCAAAACTTTTAATCAATCGCTTTAGAGAGTAGCAACTCATTGGTCCTTTACCGCTTCGAATATCTTTAAAGGAACGAAACGCTCGTAAAGCTTTAGTGGCAGATTCTGAATCACAATTTAAAAAATTCACCAAGAGTGCTTTATCCTGTAGTGACGGCATTCCAAGTGGAAGGGGAGAAGTTCGACCACACCTTCTTGCGGTCCCCCCTGGACCCTTGAAATATTTGACCAAATTCTGGTTCGTTTCCACGATGACTAACGTTGCAAAGTCACCCATTTTCAAATGAAGAGCAAAACTGATATCTCTAGTAATGCTACCGCGTCTGGGGTAACCGCCGCGTCAGGAGCTGCAGCTCGAGCTCATGATGAGAAATCTACTACGAGGACACAATTCAATCTACTCTAACTCAATATAAATGGTACCCAGAGGAAAATAAAGAGCTGACTTGTCTTCTCTGTGACAACAATGTACATATTAAATGTCCTCAGGAGACAAAATTGAATCAGAATCTGAGATTCAATATCAAAGATTATACAACACTACGAATGGACAGACCGGGAAAATTAGGAGGAGGACTTGCCATTTTTATTAAAACTCTAGAAATCAATTTTAAGGAAATCGCCTATAATCAGAGTAAGCCTAGAGAAGGCACGACATAAGCTCAGGCAATAGAAATCTATCTTACAGATAAAACAATTCCAATTATAAATGTTTATCACCACGATAATATTAGCATCAATACAGGCCTGATAGAGACATTAAGTGAAGCGTCTTCGGATATTGCAATCATACTTGGTTATTTTAACGCCGAAAGACCAACTTGGGGATCACCTGTCCAGGATAACAAAGGTCAGCAGGTTGAGGACATGCTAACCGACCTCGACCTTACGCCGTTAAATAACAAAAAGAACACCTATCTATCCAAGTCCACAGGCACATAATCCGCAATAGACATCACAGCGATAAATTACAACATCGCACCCGCAACACAATGGAAAATTCTGAAAAGTGCAATCAGTGACCACAGACCAATTTTAACAACCCTAAAATTCAAAATTGAGAATTTCCAACAGAATAGAAGAACACTGGGAAAAAAATTACAGAAAAGCCTGAAGAACTGTGCAACGAAGAATTAAATCACAGAATCATTGACCAAAAATTGGAAAAATTCTCTTTGAACCTATTCAAAGCTGCAAAGGTATCGATACTTAGAGGTAGACGTAAAGACCTGTGAATACTTTACTGGAAGGACCACAATATCGAGGCTATCTTTGCAGAGAGAGACAATAAAAATGAACTTCTTAAAACAAATAAAACAGAAGAAATCATAAAGGAACTCATTGAAATTAGTCACAAAATATCACAAGAAATTTGGATATTCAAACAAGAAAAATGAGCAGAATTCTGCGAAAAAAATGTATCCAAAAAAGTAAAGCCATCACTGGAATATAATTAGTGTTATAAAACAATCAAAACCAACACTAATCCTCCAATACTCTAGCCGATATGAACAGCGAGAACGAACAAACAGATGGCTGACATAATTGCTGAATATCTTTAAAGCACCTTCAGACTCAGCTATACGAATGAAGACAGGACTCTAAAAAATAATATAAACAAGTTAGTTAAACAAGCAAGAAATTACCATCAACAAGATATTTACTCGAGAGACTTCACACTGAATGAGCTAAATTCATCAATAGGAAAGTTAAATCCAAGATGTCACCTGGAGATGCCCTAATCTTTGGTCAAATGATTAAACACTTTGGAGACGAAGCTAAAAATCAACTCCCACGAATACTGAACATTTCATGGCAAACTGGTAAACTACCAAAGAATTGGAAGATATCAATTATAGTGCCAATACTGAAACCGAACAAAGATGCTAAGGAATGCAAGAACTATCGGCCAATTGCTCTTACCAGCATACTTTGTAAAATAATAGAATGAATTATCCACTCTAGGGTCATAGTCTGGCTCACTAACAATAATAAAATAAACTTCTACCAAACTGCCTAAAGATCCAGACACTGTACAACTGATAAACTGTTCTACTTCTGTCAATCAATAATGGATTTCTAGGAAAAACCGCCAAAGAAGACAACGGCCGTATTCCTGGATATGACCTCAGCTTTTGATCGAGTGTAGAAATTATTTGAAAGGCTGCACAACATCGGAGTAAGAGGAAAAACCTTAATCTGGATTGCAGACTTCTTAAGGGGAAGAAGGATAAAGGTTCGGGTCAATGGAACATTTTCCAAGGACCGAAGAACATGGGCTGGTGTACCTCAGGGATCTGTGCTCAGTCCTCTACTCTTCTCGCTATATATTAACCGTTGTTTATGTAAAAAGATGAATATTATTTGTATTATTTAAAGCCTCATTATGTAAAAATATATTTATATATAAATTGGAAATTTGTTGTTGGCCATGGTCAAGTTTGAGCTCTTGTACGTCTAATTACGACACAACAAAAGTGGCGACGAGGATGCGCGATCTACAGAGCCAGTAAAAAGCTGAGGAAATAGGCGTCTATGCAAGTATAACAACTCCATCTTTTAAACAAATCTGACTCTCGGATTATGGAGAGGAAAAATAAGAAAATGGGTTAAGATTACATCTTTTAAACTATCTGAATCAAGAAAACAAAGGAGTAGAAAAGATCAGCATGACAAGTTCAAAGTTAATAATACCTTTTAGATGCTATAGCCCAGCGGAGGACACTTCGATCTTTTTGTACAAAAT